ACCTCTAATAAAATCCTCCAAAGAGACTGAATAACTTTTGGATGTGAAAATTTCCTCCAGACAATTTGAGTTGCCATTGTATCTTAGTGCACATGATACCATGTTGAATGTCTTGCTCTATAATTTGTTTGTGGATTATCCTAATAGAGTTAATGCAATTGCAAAGTATTATTATTTTTGAACTACATTATATTACCATAAATGTTACATTATACTAGAAGTTAAGTAAAACGTGGCAAATTTCTTGCTTATCAACAATTCTTTTATTATGTCTTCCGTTACAGGACCAGAAATGCTCCTTCGGCAGTCCTCCGATCTTCAAAGCCATGAAAGGGTTAACACAAACTTTGGAGGTGATACTGGAGATGCACTTGAAGCACATGAATGGAGATTTGTTCGAACATTAAATGGTACTCCCTTCGTTCACAAATATAAGATGTTTTCAATATGGACTACATATGGACTGAAATGAGTGACCAGACACACTAAAACTTGTCTATATACATCCAACAAAGCCTTTAGTCCCAAACAAGTCAGGGTAGGCTAGAGGTGAAACCCATAAGATCTCGCGACCAACTCTCTGGCACATGGATAGCAAACTTCCACGCACCCCTGTCCATAGCTAGTTCTTTGGTGATACTCCAATCCTTCAGGTCTCTCTTAACGGACTCCTCCCATGTCAAATTCGGTCTACCCCGACCTCTCTTGACATTCTCCGCACGCTTTAGCCGTCCGCTATGCACTGGAGCTTCTGGAGGCCTGCTCTGAATATGTCCAAACCATCTCAGACGATGTTGGACAAGCTTCTCTTCAATTGGTGCTACCCCAACTCTATCTCGTATACCATCATTCCGGACTCGATCCTTCCTTGTGTGGCCACACATCAAATCGGTCTTTTGGCCTTGATGGGCAGTTGTTGTATTGCTTCTGAGGCACCACCTGCCCATCAAGGCTAGCCTCTTCCTCACACCTAGTAGTACTGAAACCGCACATCATGTACTCGGTTTTAGTTCTACTAAGCCTAAACCCTTTCGATTCCAAGGTTTGTCTCCATAGCTCTAACTTCCTATTTAGCCCCGTCCGACTATCGTCAACTAACACCACATCATCCGCAAAAAGCATACACCATGGGATATCTCCTTGTATATCCGATTCAGAAAAAAGTTAGAACATCTTATATTTGTAAACGGAGGGAGTATATCCTTATGCTACACCGATTGGCACCCTAAAAAGCAATATGGTGCATCTGCCTATATTCACTCGTCGGTTTCCTCTCTAAAGTTATGCTTTCAGATGATTACTCAAGTATATCTATATACATGAAGTCACACATATCATCTTTTGTAACTCTGTGCTTCACTAGACATGCAATGAGTTAGCATTTTTTTTGTAAGACACTTTTATCTTAATTCGTCTTCTAATTTTCTGTAAGATGCTGTCAACAGTTTTGCGCTACAAGAGGAACCATGCACAATAAATTGAACTTGAGTCATATAGAGTTTATACAAAGTCGAGAATCCTGATCATACACGTGTGTATTTAACCGCCAGTTAATTGCTATATACCTCTGGTACATCAATTTAACCGCCAGTTAATCTTATTACTTATCCCCACAAAAGCAAAATCTGATTAGTTTGTCCGACAGTTTGGAGCTATTGGCTATTTATAGCTTAATAAGGTACTGTGCATGTTTGCAGTTATATATATCTTGGTCTTCTGTTCCGATGAATATAGTGATATGGCCAACTAAAAAAAATACTCCCTCTGTAAACTAATATAAGAGCGTTTAGATCACTAGTGATCTAAACGCTCTTATATTAGTTTACAGAGGGAGTACTACTTGTATGGTCCTGCTACTGTGCTTCTATTTGATTACTCCAGCTTGTCGGACTGCAAAATCTTACATTGATCTGGAAGGATCTAACTTGATACTAGTAGTTCTGCAGTTTGTTATTCTGATATGAGAGTTATATGATTTATAATTGAGTCTGTTGTTGTAACCTGTGTTTAACTGTTTCTTATCAGCATACATAGTCGCATCACAGAAAACAGTAGTTGATAACTCATCCCCTACATATCAGCATTCCCTGAGTGCACTACTCTTGTGGCCATTATATATCTGCATAAAAGTTAGGGAGTAATTATGTGCTGTACCACAGGAACCTCACCCCCTTCATTTATTTTATATTACTGAGAATTGCAATCGGTCTTTGTTGTAGATTCTCACCAGATTACGGATTTGAAGTCTTGAACTCTTAGACTCTAATACTAACCGTCACTGTCAAACACTACACATCAACATGGGCTTGATATCAGATGCCCATCTTGTCACATACTGCAATACCCGTGCTGAGACCTCTTCGATACTTCACTGAAGCTTGCCTCAGTTGCCACAACTTTGTCACCCACCACCATTGTTGTACTCACCACTAGGGCCATCATGTCTACCATGATCACCTTGACCACCTCTAACATGGCCTATACCGAGATCAAGCACTCATCCGCTGACATGCTCTTATCCTTGGTCTCCATCATCTCTACCCAAAACAGCAACCTTTTGCAGCTTTTCTTCTCTGTCTGCTTAATGTAGCAACTAGCAGAACAGCAGCAGCACAACACCACTTCTTTCCTCTTTTTCTTTCCTCCTAGTGATGCCAGCTGATTTGTGATTCCTCCTTCTAGTTATCTCTTCTAGCAGCCGCACAAATCAGATGACCTGAACATCTTCCTCGTCTTCTTTCACGCAGCAGCCCAACAACAGCACACAAAGCGCAAGCGCATCACTAGCAGAGGCCCTGCTGGTGACCTAAAAGCACGGTGATACAGCTACTCTGTTGCAGCCTGCATGTGCACGCTCAAGACCACTGCTGGTCGCAGCTAGGGTGGGAAAGACAGGTCGTGATTTCCCGCAAATGTCTGGTGGTGTGAATGAACAGAGGATGATAACGGAGGCAGTGATGAGGGGTGTGATTTAAGTTATCAAGTGGTAGCATGTAGAAATTAGTGGAATTATTGTGGGTCCCCTAGAAACTACACTCCCTCTGTTAGTAGTGCTAACTGCTATGAATTATGGTCAGGCTGTAGTACTATCATTTTCTAATACTAACTGTATTGAGTTGCATGCCCGGTCAATTCAGTCAATAATCTAAGATGATCAAGAAAGGTACTTCAACACTCTTTAACAATATCCCTAGATGCAGATGAAGAAGTATGATTTTTTTTTCTCATTCCGTTGAGTCATCTCCAGATATCAGAAATCGGATTTATCTCTATTTTTGTTATCATCATGCAGGAATTAGAATTTTTGAAGATATTGCAAACTCAAAGGTGAAGTTCTTTTGCTTTGCAAGGTTAAATGTACAAGATATTGCTGTAGCTTATTGGTTAGATGGATGTGATAAGCTGATGCTCAATGAACTCTCGACTGCTTTGTCATGATCCATTACCTTAATGGTTGTTGAGCTATCAATCTTTCACAAGCAATATGTAATTCTGTACTGAGTGATTAGCAATAAGCAAGCTGCATAACAGATTATGAGTCGCTGATACATGTCCAAATGAGTCAATGTTATGTAGTCAGACAACCCTATTCCATGACCATTTTGCTAGCTAATACTTGTCTAGACTAGTTTCTTTACAGCTTTTGCCAATTCAAATATTTGACAGAAATCTGAAGTACAAAATTAGAACCACATAGCTATGTACTTTAGTGAATGAAATGCTTAAAGTGTTGGATTAATTGCTTCAGAGCATCCGCTTCCATCCCTAGCAACCAGCAATTTCTTTCTGAATGCTTGCTGTGGTTTAGGGCCTGTTTTCTCTGAAGCCATTGGTACCCCAATTCATTTATCACATTTAGCTTTTGTTTGGTTTATTGCCAAACTTTTGGCAAGATAATGTTCCTATTTGTGTATCTTAGTTTCACTTTCTTGCTGAAAATTGGTCAAATCACGATGTTGATTTCTTAGTCAGTTTTTAATGCTAACCCTTGGAGCAAAGTGTTGAATTTTAGGCATGAAATGAGCATGCATCTCACTTTTCTAAAGCTGTTATCCACCCTTCTATTGCCCTTGTTTTTGAAAGAAATAGGCTCTACCTTTAAAAACTTTTGCTAATTACTGCTTCTTGCAGGGTGGAAAGGGGATACTTCTCAAGTCTATTGGCGTGGTTGGTGCAAATCCTGACAGTGTGTTTGAAATGGTTCTCAGTCGGGATAAGCATAAGCGACACGAGTAAGCTAGCAGTTGATTTGGTCTTTACAGTAAATATATTAGATTTTTTCTCTTTGTGGGTGAAACAAATGCATGTTATCTCTGAATACATTGCCAGCTAGCTCTGATAAGATTCTCCCATGCAGGTGGGATATGTTGATTTCTGATTTGGAGTTGGTGGAAACAATTGATGGGTACTGTGATGTGGTTTATGGGACCTATGAGCCAAAATATTTAAACTGGTACTTTCCTCTCATTACAGTTTGGATTATTCCTCTATATGATAGTGATGCAATTTTAACAACAATGGCCTGATTATTAAAGAAACTAGATGATATCCCGCGCGTTGCTGCGGGATATTTTGTCAGCCATAAAGCTTAAAATATGTGATGGACACTCTAGACTATAGGGCACAAATATTGATAAAATGACATTTTCTCAGAGAAGATATTGTGAAGATCATAGAAAATAAACGAATAGTATCACACAATACAATGTTCTTTAGTTAGACAGTTGTATCATATAAAAATTATTAAACCTATGAGAAGTAACATTATAATCAATGATAGTTATCTCAAAACAATATCCTAGAAATTAAGATTACATCTTGCCTAAGTATGTATCTCAGATGCAAACACCCTTTTAAAAACTGACATGAAGCGCTAGCTCGTAGCTCTGCAACAAATTCTAAATCTATTATCCGGATATCTAGAAAAAAGATGACTAAAAAACAATGGTGACTGAATTGTTTTAGCAACCACATAGTTCAGTTCCATCAACATCACCATAGGCTAAATTATCTTGTCCCAATAAGTCAGAGAATAATTTCGCATGAATAGAAGCAAATCTGCTTAAACAAATTTATAGTGTCCTTATTCAGAAGCATACTTGTATGACACACCTTAAATCTGCGTAAAATCAAAGATCTGCTGAAAACCATTTTTCTCTGTGGATGAAACCAACAGTGGCATGTTACTATAATCACCTGGACAAATATACAGTCGCACTATATTCATCCAGTTCAGTGAAAAACAAATCTTTAGGAGTTCCCAAAAAAAGGGTAACATATAAGCAAGGGGATGCCTACACTATAAGTGAAAGATAAATAGCAACATTTAAAACACTTGTTAAGTGGTCTATCCTTTGAAAAAACTAAGGAGATCTACAAAACAACAAATGGTGATAATGCCAGAATATTCAATGGAGACGTTCAGGTAAATATCACTGATAAAGGTAATTTGAAGGTCGTGATTTATACCAACAATTGCAGGATGAGGCATGGGAAAATAACAGAAATGCTTATGGTCGCAGGAGATAAAAAGTAGGAGTGAGGCTTTTAAAAAGATCAAGCAAAAAATGTACAATTTCACTTACTTATATGGAAAGAGACACGATTCATTAGCATTGCCTATCATGCATTTCTTTTTGCTTTTCACATGAAGCAGCAAGATAAAACATTGATCAAAGAGCTCACCATTGTCATGCGCATGTTGCTTGCAATCATCTTATATGTAAGTTGAACAATCCTTTATATAGCATTTATTTGTTGTCAATTGAGATGCCAAATTAAAATATGCACTCAATATCAAATGATGAACAATAAGTAAGGTAAAACAAATTGTGTTACTGGCTAGAAACTTAAAGAATAGAATGAAGGCATACCTGGTGAGCCCTACAGAGTGCAGATCAAATCTAGGTCATGTTTTTTAAGGAACTCTACAACCTTATCAGGTCCAAAAGTGTAGGAGACGCCCCTGTCATTATCAGCCCAGCCAGCAACATCCTTATCAGGGTCTGACCATAGCAGATAACAAAGGAGACCATGGTCCAGAATATCCACAGGACAGGCAATGTTACGTATCTGGTCCATGTTTTTTCAATTAGACGATAAACCCCCATGCATGCATAGGATCTTGACATCAATAAATGCAGCCACAGAGGAGGCGGTTAAAACAATCAGTAAAAACTTTCCAGAGGCGAACATTAATCCTCATCTTGCATTCATCAAAGAACACATAGATTCTGACCATTTCATTGTAGATGCCGATCGACTGTATCCATTTGAATCAAGCAGTTGACCTTCCAATTCCCAAAACTATTTGCCCATGGTATAGTTTTCTAAGATAATGAAATCTCCATCAGTAAAAAAGAAGCACATAAATATATATGTCAAAGCTATAGCATACCAAAAGAGGTTAAATATTAACAAATCGATTTGATATGCTATACTGTAAACTCCATGAGAGAGAGACATGAACTGCACAGTCCAAGAAAGAACACCGTGAAAGATGAAGCCGTGGGTAGAAAGATTTTTCATCCTAGCAGGACGTAGTAGTTTTTCCAGATGCGGTGGACGATTGGAACTACCTTATGCGGCGGCAGAGATCTTCACGGGTAGAAGATGGTGAAAATAACCTTCGGCGTGGTGTGGGCTGTAGCTTCGATCCTGAACAGCGGCGGACAGACGACATCACGCTGTAGCAAAGGGAGATCCGCTGAAATAGTCGAAGAGTTTCTGGTGCAGACGATAAGGGCGAGAGAACGGGAATGGCCAAGATAGAGAGGCGGACAGTCTAGGAGATCAAGGTCGGTTTATCATCCACTAAGTAATCATGTACATGGGCCATCAAGTGGTGTGGGCCATTTGGGGAAAGTAAACGACGCTAGCACAGTGAAGAAAGGAAGAGGCGTGATGCATTTCAAACTGACGGAAAATATTGCCACGGTGAGATACCCATGTGCAAGACGTACACTCTCATATTTTTCTCAAAAAAAAGAAAAAAGAAGTGCATGATCACGATGGTTGGGCACGCAGACGTCCAGGGTAAAACAGTATGTCGTGGCTGCATGAGAAATTATTAGTGCTTGTGTGGGGCATAGGTGATGAGGTGGATAGGCTGCATGTCAAGAGAAATAGGATAGTGGGGATGAACTATTTAGGTATTATAGATACTTTTTGCTCTATTTCTTTTGGTACAAAAGGCAAATAATTGTAGAAGGTCTCAAATGATTTTTGAAGCACAATTAGTAGCCATTTTTGGAGATCTTGAGCTTAGTAAATCATGCTTGTTTTAGGTTTAAGATATCACTTCTGCTTTAAGTGTGGTTAGGTTTATTAAGAGTTACTTTTGTGCCCTGTTCAGCAGTTTGTGAAAAATACTACTTCTACTAAGTATGAGGACTGTTCTCAGGTGGAAATCAAAGAAGGATTTTGTCTTCTCCAGACAATGGTTTCGTGGACAAGATGGGGCATATAGTAAGCAACATGATCTTTTACATTTTCAAAGTTAACTTAGTTATGTTACCTTTCTTTGTCTCTCTATGCAGACATTTTGCAGAGTCCTGCTAGTCACAAGCAAAAACCTCCAAGACATGGATATGAGCGTACACATATCAACCGTAAGATTGACCTTTCTTGATTAGTTTTCTTGCAGTTGTAGACCATGAGTCACTTAGTTCGTTTTATCTGTACCATAACTTTTGGCGTGTTCAACCTATGTTCAGAGAGTATGGTCACTTCATTTGAAGTTGTGTACTAAAAATAAATTTGCATATTGATGCCCTTTTGGTATATGTACAAATAAGTTTATAACCAGAAGTAAAACTAATTGATATTTCAACACTAACCCTAAATGGGTTGCATAGTTACTTTATAGATTATATATCTTCTTGAAGGATCATTAATAATTCCCTGCAGTAAAAGTAAACTTGCTAGATCCTAACCTGAAATGGCTCACATGGTGGGGAAATTCGACCTGTGAAGAGTCACGATTGCCTTGCGTTGCACCCATGTCTTGTCACCGTAACGTGTGCACATCACACCCGCTGATGGCTGGGCCGTGGTCATCTGCCTCGGGCCGTGGTCATCTGCCTCGGGCCTGCGTCACCATAGTGCATGCCGTTAGATGAATGGACCTTGTATTGGTATTGGGCCAAAGGGGCCAGAATATACAGAACTACAATAGTACATCTGCAAATATGATCCTATAGAAATCTGCTAGCTGAAGCTCGGGAAGGCACAAACTTTGTTGAGCTGAATATACATGTTTGAAGAGAAAATGGCTGTGTTGAGGTCGAGTTTGTGCCTTAGTAAAAAATTATTCTAGCTGAATCTTAGGAAGGCACGAACTGGTGATCCACAATCTGGTCTTGCACCTCGATCTCATGTAAGCATCATCCATATCAAATTATCAATATGTTTGGTGAGCTCATGCTTCATAGGACCTCCAACAATGCTGATTGTGTGGGTGTTGTCTGATGAGAGAGGAGTGGGTGCAGTAGTAGAAACACCAAAATCATCAAGAAACCACCTCAACCAAGTGATGTAAATTTTGTCCTATGTAAGAAGTAAAGAAGAACTCCGCCTATGTTGTCTCAATAGCCGGTCCCAGGCCCAGGTAAAGGAGGAGGGTTGTGATAGGCTTGACGAGCCAACGTAAAAACTCAGCCACTCTTATGGAGATGAAACCCAAAAGATTTTCGTTGGGGCGTAACCCTCTCAGCGACGCGCCACATCGGAACCCGGGTGTGGTGTCAAATGG